AAAAAAAAAAAAAAAAAACACTGAAAATAAGTTTAAATAACAAATGAAGTTAAAAAAAAAAAACAAAAAAAAACTGATAAGAATTCAGACCAAGTTCACAAAGTTGTGACAAAAAGAATACTAAATAAAACAGTAGTAGCTAAAAAAAACACCGAGAATTCTATGGCAAGGTCACACCGAGCCACTTGTCCAGGTGGTAGTCCGTGTGAGGTTGCCATAAGGTAGTTGATGAGCGAAAAAATGAGCACTAGCTAAAACAGAGGAGGGGTAAAAACTCTTACGCACCCGAGAGATAGACAATGATAATCCGGCGAGGGATTTCAGTGCATCTTGCTTCCCTCCTAACTTCCTAAGTGCATGTTGACCTCCTCACTCAATGCTAAATTTGGCCTCAACAGATTCGGCATATCAAGAACATTATTCTCCATTACACGGGTCCTTTTTTTTCTCTCTTTCTTTTTTTGGGGGGGGGGKGGGGGGGGGACCGATAGGGGTCTTAATTTTCGGACAGGAAGGGGGCTCTTGATGGAACCCAAGAAAGAGGCGCCCCCCTCCAACGTGACTCCATCTGGAGCCAACCAAACCCGATCCTATCCGACTGGAGGGATCCAACGGATGACCTCATAATGGGTCTAGATGACACATCCAAATGGAATAGCCCATCAACGAGCTATAGATCTGCCAAGGGCAGTTTCAATCCAGCTCTCTGCTCTTCAGTTACAGTCCTGCTAGCTACGCCTAAGTAATAAAAACAAAAAGGAAAAAAAAAACAAAACCAGCGAATGTAACTTGCTCTGTGTATGCGGAAGTGAGTCTAAGCAACGACCCCTCGGCAAGCCTCGGTGCACTTCCCATTCTCGATTTATGCATCTCATCCTTGCGCACGGGCCATGCAATACCAAATACATGCAAACCCACCGCCCACCACACTCCCATCACAAACGCCTTGTCAGAGAGAAGAACATACTACATTAAATAAATAAATAAATAAGTAAAAAACGCCTTGTCCATCAACACCGAAGATATACAAACAGACTGCCCAGCGTTTCTCATTGGCGTTTCCTCAGTGTAGACGCCCCTCTCGATCGTCCCGACTGAGTCAAATCGAGTACCTGCTCCCGCATGTCTGGGTGGTCAACGGATCTGTCATGAGCTCCTGGCGATCGCTCGCACGATCCTCCGGTGACGTTGCCGTCCGCTGTGGCAGCTGCTTCCTGCGCGGCACGAGCATACTTTCTTGAAAGACCGAGCTGAACGACGAAGCAATCGCATTGTGCCGCCATCTGCACGAGCGTCAGCAGAGGGTACGTGACCAGCACAAGGGAGCCATAAAACTCGCGGCGCGCAGCCGCCAGCGTGGCGTCCGTCGCGAAGCGGTACCACACGCGCAACACCAGCGCGCCAAACAGAGCGCGTGTTGCGCCGTACCAGATCGTCAGCGCGAAACCTGCGCTGGGACAGCGGCGCAGCACATGCGGCGCAACGCGATGCATCAGGATGAACACGAACACGGTCTGCTCCGTCAGCGCATTCATGACGTTGAAGATCCCCATCTGCAGCACGACGAGTGCCTTGTGCTTCGCAAAGCAGAAATGCATGAGCGTGAAGACTGCGACACACGCGACGTGGTGCACCTTCAGGGACATCCGCAGGCTATGGTGGAACTCAAGCTCGCAGAGGTACATGCCATTCACGACCATCCCGGCGAACAACGCGCGGCGCGTGGACAGCAGGAAATCTGCGGGAGTCCGACCGAAGAGCAGGTCGGTGCACCCATCCACAATGGCCGCGAGCCCGACACAAGACACGATGATCTCTGTGCAGTAGATGGCGACATTCTTCTTCTTGGCCGGCTCGAGATGGCGGGTGATGGCAGAGCACTCAAAGAGATGCAGCAGCGACATGGTACCGACCAGGCAGAACAGGAAAGCGACGGGCGGCATAGCCGTGTCGAGCGGCGACTCCACGAGCAGCACTGGGTGGATGCCGAGGCGGATCGCCTCCAGCGGACGGCGCAGCATGGCCATGTAAGTCTGCGTGCCCATCTCCGCGAGGCGGGACGGCACGTTGATCTTCAGCGGCTGGAACGGCTCGATCTGAGTCCCACCGGCGGCGCTGTCATCCGTCATCAGCACACTGGCGCTGGCGACACTAAACAGGTCGGTCGTGGTCGTCGACGATGTGTTCTCGTTCCCAGCTCGTGGCATGCAGAGATCGCGGGGCAAATTGAACGTGTGCATGCACCAGTCGCGCGTGTGCATGAACACGGTGGGCACGCCATGGCCCGAGAACGTCTCGCCGACGAAGTAGAGCTGCTGATGACCTTGCGCCGCCTCGGCCTTGTCGTACCACCCGGCGGAGATGGCATCCACGGGGACTCGCGTTGGTGTGTTGGGGTAGTGGGTCATCTTGAGGCCGTGGAGGTCTCGGAACCCGTAGAGCCCAAGCTCGTCGACAAGTAGCTCGCGCTCCTCTTCTGTCGCGACGGCGTGGTACTTCGTCTGGAAAACGACGGTGAGGATCGCCTCGTCCGTCGTCTTGATGATGCGCATCACGTTGACCGTGGCCGAGAGATGACCGCTGTACATGGGTCGGCTGTGCTTCTGGTGGTCCAGCACGAAGCGCGGCTGTGCGACAAATCCGGCGCGTGGCGACACCGTGAACGACAGCACAGCGACACCGTAGATGCCGTGCGAGTGTGCGACGTTGACCGCGTGCTCTTTGACTACTTCGTAGACAGGCTTCATCGGGTGACCGTCGGGGAGAACGTCGTGCACCTGGTCGGGACGGGCCGTGACGATCACGACATCAAACACGTTGTCGTCGCCGCCGCCGCCAAGACCTCCCTCGATCGCGATGGGCGGCGCATCTCCTCCTGCGCCTGCTGCGCTCGCTGCGCCGTGGAGATGAACGTGCACGCGCTGGCGGCCCATCGTCGCGTCCTGGAAGGGCTCGAGGCGCGCCACGCGGGCGTTTATCCGATTGTCAATGCGGTTGCGCAGAGCGACGGACGTGAAGAAGGAGCCGTAGCCATGGCGGAAGCAGCGCATGAAGGACGGCATGTCGATCGCGATCTCCGCGAACCAGAGCAGCATGGTGTCGTGCAGCGGACCGAGCGGAGACTCGCGCTTCCACACCTCGAAGTCGCGCTGCCGCGACGCCAGCACGAGGGAGGGGCCGAGAATGGACGGCATCTTGTTGGCCAGCAGCATGAGCAGCTGACACGCGGGCGACGACCCGACGGGGAAATTGCCATAGAGACCGAGGATGTGCGCCGCCCCTTCGAACAGCACCTCGTCAAACCCGTGCCGCTGCGCCCACTCCGCGAACGTCTCGTTGTGCCACGCGATCCCGCTGCGGAGACACGCCTGGATCCCGCTGTACTGGTGTCTTCGAAAGAACGGCGCAAAGAGATGGAAGAAACGCTGCGCCTCGTTGAAGCGCCGCCGCCCCGCGTCCGCGCCCAGGGGCATGTCCATGTATTCATGCAGCTCGGGCCCGAGCTTGCCCTCGTCGCCAGCAGCAGTCCCGCTGGGTCTCGTTGGCGAGGTGCAGGTGCCAGTCCTCACGAGAGAGACCTGTGAATTCGGTGACCGGCACGAGCTCCTGCTGGTACTCGCGCAGCACGGCCTCATAGCGCTCCTCGAGCCCCGATCCCGACCACGACAGCGCCGGCACGTAGATGAGATCCATGTCGTACACCGCATGCGTCGTGCGCACGGCGTGCTGGATGGGCACGATGGTGGTCCCAGCCTCGAAAACGACGACGTTGGTGAGGCCGTGCTTAACGAGCGTCTCGGCGGCGGAGACTCCGCTCACGCCGCCCCCGACGATGGCGATTCGCGCCGCCTTGCGCACAAGCTCAGCGTTGCCTTGAGACTGGTCGAGGGGTGGAGCAGGGGCGTCGCAGGCGCCATCGATCGCGGAGGCATCACATCGACTGGCGAGCCACGGTGTCACACTGTGGACCCAGACCAGCACTGCCAGACTCGCCCAGCTTCGAAGCATTGTATTGTGCCCCTCTGTTTGTTCCGTGCGCGTGTCGATCTTCCTCAAGTCCTCAATGATTACTCACAGTTTGCTCCTCGACTTGCTTCGTCGTGATGCTCGCTCGTCCTTCTCTAATTCCCCACCAAGGACCGTGAGTGCGCTTGCGCAGTACTACCCTGGCAGAATCGCCCTGAGCTCTCATCGTTACCAGCACCCGACGCACCCGTCTTTTTTTATCTATCTTTCTTTCTTTCTTTCCTTCCTTCTTTCCCCCGACCTCGTCTATCTTTCTTTTCTCTCGAAGTCAATACATTGGCGATCCGTCCGTGATTCATCTACAGAGTTCAGTTGCTCACTCGGCGGCGGCTAATCACTCTTCAACTTTTTTTTTTTTTTTTTTTTAATGTACAAGGGGCTCTACTGATGTCCACGTGCATTCGCCTTGTCGCCCTTCCTGTGCCCTTTTCTCCTCGCCCACAGTTCTACTTTGCTGCGTGGTTTTATCGTAATTTTCCA